ATCTTCACCTGGGGCTATTTTTCCATTGATGTTTAGAGAGAGTGGAAGGAGGGAGAAAGAGAGAGAGAGAGAGAGAAATAATATCAATGTGAGAGAGACACACCAATTGGTTGCCTCCTGAATGAGGTCCCAACAAGGGCCAGGGATAGAGCCTGCAACCAAGACACATGCCCTTGCCCTAACTGGTTTGGCTCAGTGGATGGAGCGTCGGCCTGCGGACTGAGAGGTCCCAGGTTCGATTCCGGTCAAGGGCATGTACCTTGCTTGCGGGCACATCCCCAGTGGGAGGTGTGCAGGAGGCAGCTGATCGATGTTTCTCTCTCATCGATGTTTCTAACTCTCTATCCCTCTCCCTTCCTCTCTGTAAAAAATCAATAAAATATATTAAAAATATATTTAAAAAAAAAGACACATGCCCTTGATTGGGAATCTAACCCAAAACCCTTTGGTCCAAGGGCCAACAATTTAACCACTGAGCCAAACCAGATAGTGCAGCTCTATTATTATTTAAGATAATGATGGTTAATTCTTTTATACTTCAGCATTGTTTACTATCAAAATGATCTCATTCTTCATGGAATCTTATTCTGGAGAGAAAAGCAGGCTTTGTTCATCTAGCTTACAGATGAAGAAACTTCAGTCATGAAAGGTTTAATCACTTGCTCAAAGTTAACAACTCTAGTTAGCACCAGTCTTGGGATTTAAACCCATCTCTCTGGGTTGCATTTCATTCATTATCTGTGGCTAACGAATTGACGGTCCTCCAGGCTTCAATCTTAGCATGGCATTCACAAGCGAGATGATTTCCTGACTGTCATTCTACCTCCTTTGGTCTATGAGATGGGCATAATACCTTCCTGTCTTAACTCAACCCACTGTTATAATAGAAATGGGAGTAATTAGTGATCTGTAAAATTATATACTGAAACAAATGACTATAAAAACAATGCAACTGTAGAAGACCTGCAATGCCCCTTTTAATGCTTATTTACAATCCCAGGGTGCTAAATTTTGTGCAGGTGGGCAGGAAAACATAAGGTCTATACTTTAATACACTTTTATTTGTTTGTTTTGTTAGCTTTTCCCATTTTCAGGGGGAAGAGAGACCCTTTGAACTAGAAATGTATTTTCAATTAAGTGAGGTTCATATGGTATCATATTTTGAAAAGGCCAAGTTGAAAATGCTGACATTTAAAAGATTAATTCACAGGGAAAGGAAAAGCAGTTCAAATCCTATGAATCTAGGGGACCTGCTCTTCTGATCTATGCCAGGCCGGGCACTGTGAGGGGGCACACCACAGCTCTCAGTAAGGACATTGGCAAGGATTCTCCCAAGGGTGGGAAAGAAATTCCATTCACAACTGCAGAACAAATATCTACAAGCCTAGACATTGTGCAATGACTTGGATTCTCATTAATAAATATAAATGTCAACCATTCTTTCTGACTTGTCCTTCATTTGGACAACCAACCTGGACTGATCAATTTCTCATTCTCTTTCTGGTCAGTTTCCACTCCCATGTTTTCTGAATTTTCAACAGAGTCGCTGCCAGCAAACCCTAGAAGAAGAGCCTACCTTTAAATCTACTCACATTATTTGGGACAAGTGTCTCAGGGAGATAGCAGGGGTAGCAAGGGTTACCCATGTAATAAAACAAGCTATACAGTTTCTGAGAGAGAGGGGAGGAAGGGAGGGAGGACGGGAGGACGGGAGGGAGTGAGGACATGGAGGGGAGGAAGGAGAGAGGGAGAGAGAGATGATTCTTTGTGGGGACAGAGTAGACTTCAGGGCATCAGCATTTGTGAGATCCAGGCCTCCTGATGTGGGCACAGGCCTCTGGGCTTGGTACTCCACACTAGGATGCAAGAGCCTCAAGGGGTCCAGTCTGACAGTTGATGGAAGCAGATTCATCCCTGCTGTTGTCGCTTTACCCACTCAAGTGGAACAAACTGGATCCCATGCCTTTGCCTTCAGGGGCTCTTAAGGGCTCGGTAAGTCCGATACCACCATAACCTCAGGACTTTGGGCTCACCTGACATCAGCTTCTGAATTCCTTGGGCTGTAATTATCATCTGAGGCAGGGATGCCAACTCCTTTCAGAGATTAAGAAACAGGGTGAAGGGAAGATTGCCAAAGTCCTAGGTCACCATTTGATTAGGCAAGCTGGCCTGGCTTTAAATGGCTGTCTGCTCATCCATCCATCCACCCACCCATCCATCCATCCATCTATCCATCCATCCATCCATCCATCCATCCATCCATCCAACCAACTGATCGATATTTATTGAGTGTCTATCTTGTGTCTTGCCCTACATGAGAAAAATAGATATGACCAAACAAACCAAACAGATATGGTCCGGGGTTTCATGAGCATACAGACTACTAGTGAGACAAATGGCCTTTAAATAAATAATCTCAACAGTAAACAAAAAGTCATTGTAGGGGGTCATATGAAGGAGAGGGCCTGACGTTATAAACCTATACAATAGCGAGAGGTGGCATACTGAAGATCTGATCTGATTAAGAACGTAGAGAAAGGCTTCCCAGAAGAAGTGATATTTGAGCTGAGGAAGCTTAAAGCAAAGGAATACATGAATCAAACAAAGGATGTGAGTGAATGTGATGGAGGCAAGGAGTCCAGGCAATACGGACAGAGGAAACAGACATGCAAGGGCCCCATGGCAGAAGTGGGTGGCATAGTTGAAGGAGGCTGAAGATATAGACACAATAGGACCATGTTATGAAATGAGACTGGAGGGGAGAAAGTAACATTTTAGGACTTGTGGGTCAAGTTTCTGATTTTGATCTTTTTCCTAAGAGCTGGGAAGCCATTCAAGTGTTTTAAGCAGGGGTTTGGGGGATAATGGCATGATATTTTTTAATTCAAAAATATCACTCTGGCTACAATACAGAGGCTAAATTAGAAAGAGGCGATTTCTGGGAATCCAATTAAGGGAGCTCAGGGCAGATGATGGTGCATTGAAATATGAGTTGCAACAGGAAATTATATGCACCTTCCTGGCAAAATTAACTCCCATGGTTTATTAGTTTTGAAATCAGGGAATCTCAACCTTTGATATCAGCCTCTCTTACAAAAATTAAAGGAAAAACGCTGATGTCCAGCTACCATCCCAGACCCACCTCCTGGGTCAGGACCTCTGGGGAAGATGCCAGGCCCTGCTGTGGTCTGAGAAGGTCTATAACTGATGCTGGGATGCACCAAGGGTTGGGGCCCTCGGGTTCAGATTCTTGAACATTAGTTTTTCGTGGGATGGAATTCTGAAGATGAACATATAGTCCAGGACAAGCTGACACTGTCCTTATTTTATTTTGGTGGGATGCTAACGTTTTCCCAGGACATCTTAGGATGCCCAGTGCTAAGAGTGCATTAATAAAGTCAGGCAGGAAGATCTGAACCCATTGTTGGCAACTGGTACATAAGCACAAACGGAAGTTCCAGGATCCATGCTCACTTGTCTAGGAAAACGAGCTGCTAGGTGAGATGAGGGCAGTTTGTGTAAACTTCTAAGGGCCGAGGTGTGTCCTTCATGACCTTATCCTCAGTACCTAATACAGGGCCCACAGAGGGTTCTTTTTCGCTGAAGAAAATTTGAATATGGTGCATCTCTAA